ATAAAGTTTTAATATGATGTTATAATTATGACAATCACGCCATGGATCACGGTAACTCGAATCCACTCTGAATTTATCTGTATGTGTGTCGATTTCGATTATTTTTGTTATCCAATTAAACGCCGCTTTTAACGCACTTTCCCTCGTCGTGACCCGACGCGTTCACTTATTTCAACAAAATTTCAATTTATTTCCACGCGGCTGTCATTTATTTAGTAACTATGATTTGTCGTTTTTTAAATTACTTTATAGTGATCACTATGGTCTAATGTTTAGAATGTCAAAATATGTTCTCTTTTATTTTAATTTTGAAAGTTTTACTCAGACGATCAATGAAATAAAACAGTGTAATGACGTGCCTAGTAACCTGCTAAATAACGAGATAATTCCGACGTCAAATTCTATTTTGTCCAGCGACAGTGTACAAACGTGCGCCGGTGACGATCACGGTGACCAGCTACACCAGAACGGACATATTTCGCATCTATCTATTTTCGCAACAAAAATTTATACTATGTGTTCATTATGGTCCATTCCTCCTCGACGAACAAGTACATATTAAAGTGAAAATTTAGTCAAAGACGAGAAAACTGCACAAGAAATTTGCCTTATTTACACGTATCGGCAATGTAAGCTGCCATGCGACTTCCCCTTCTGACGTCACAAGGGGAATTTCTGTATGCAAATGAGAAGCTAATGAGGAGCCTCGTTTTAAAATACACAAAAATAAAGTTGCCGTAGATTGAGTTTAAAACACATTTTTTCACTTAAAAAAATAATTCATGCTTAGAAACATAAAAATTAATATTATTTATGTATCAATGGATAATTTTAGGCGTGAAAATAGCAGCCATTTCACAGGCACTTTAAGCAATTTACTAAAAAATGATTGACCTTGTTCAACCATAGTGACAAATGATGATCAAAATTAATTTGCATTATATGACACTCCTGAATATCTCTGTTGAACTGCCCTTGTGAATTTTAGCAACATAAAATGATTTCCACACTGATGACAATTTTGCCTATTATTTCAGTCTGTGATGAAGGCTTTCTTTGTGCTGATAATAAGAAATGTATTCCAGAGTCTTTCCAGTGTGATGGAATAAACGACTGTCTTGATATCAGTGATGAGTACACCAATTGTAAGTTAACCTCGTGTGATGTCTTTAAAAATAACAAACATTCTTGTAAAGGCTCAGTGACATCATGGTGTTTTCCTCAAAATGTCTTAACTTTGTTGAATGATTTTAGTGTTTTTTGTTCTTGTTCTTGGTCACGTGTCCAAGAGTGGTAATAAATAAAAATAAACTCTTTTTTTTCAAAAACTATAACATAAATAAGACTTTGACACAAAGGAAACTACTGGTACTGCTGTACGAAGTAGATATACTGTATAATGTTGATTTGAAATTATGCAACTAATTATTGACTTTTTCTATCTAATCAGGCTGTCCAGATGGTCAGTTTTCTTGTGGAATTATTGATACATGCATTGAAGAAAGTAGTGTGTGCAATGGAACCATAGAATGCCCGAATGGTCTAGACGAACGTGATTGTGGTGCGTCATTATACATCCATATAAATTTGACATTTTATCTTCCAAGTCGCTTGCATTATATAAATTGCTTTTTTTTCGCTAGGATTTTGGCACAACAGACATTCCACTGGGAATCATTAAACATCGATGACTTTTACAATTAAAATTGCAACCTTGAAAACAAGTTATGAAAATTTTAATTGGTGTAAATGTAATGAACTTACACATACTCATGTAGTTTGTTTAATTGTTTTTTTAGATTATTGCTCTGATACTGAATATACTTGCCCGGATGGACAATGTATTCCACTATCTAGCCTATGTAATGGTGTAAGTGAGTGTGTCATGGATTATGATGAAGTCGGTTGTGGTGAGTTCAATGGATATATTACAATGAAACATAATTTAACATCGGTTAATTTTTTGTCACTTCATACACTTATCGCTTTGATCACCAAGTCTTCTTTTGTTAGTATCAGGCTTAAAAAGTTTCTTTAAAAAAATGATTCATTCACTAACGAATGCGACTTTGGGGAATTAAGGTCCGCAGGTGCTTGTGTTCGACCGAGCCTGGTTGACGCCAGAATAGCGCATTAAATTGCCATTTGATAGAGAGATGGCCACACAGTCCTGTCATGTAGTTCCAAACATGAATATGACTTCTGTGGCAAAATGCACTATGTGTCAGCACTTGGAATTTGCACATACAAAACAAAGTCAGGAGAGACAACACAGACACTCAATGTCCAGAACTGTCGCCTGGCACAAAAACATTTAAAAAAAAAAAATGATGTGGTGATTTTTTTTAATGCACAAATCTACAAGGGGGGGGGGGTAAAATTGTCTATATTTTTTCAAGAAAGTTGATAGATGACAAAAACAATTGGAGTAATGTTTTTTAAAATTTACAAATGTGTATACAACATTTCTGTGTTTAGGATTCCAAATCTCTAGTAGCTAAACACCACATATATCGCTGAAACAATAATTTTCCTTTTCAGATATAAAACTGTCTTTCATTTCTGTTTTCCTATTTTTCTCGCTTTTTTGATTTGAAATGACCACTTGAAAAATAATTTATAATTTTTTTTGGTCCAAAAGACTCTTTGCGGGTTCCTGTGTCACTAGTATTTTCAGATAAACGTTCAACGATAGTACCACATCCTGCACACTTAAAACCCGCAAATAGTTTCACAGTAGAGAAATTATTGACCACATGCATTCCTAGCATAATATTTCCAAATGTAATGATGGGGTGTAATGCTAACCCGCTTTTCAAAATGGTGATAAATGGTTCAATTAAATTGCCAAAAAATGGCAATACGTCTTGCTCAATACCTAAAATTTTCATTTGAATTGAGGCAGCAACACCATCATAATTCTATTACATAATTGGGTCACTATTATTAATATATAAGTGTAATAGTTTTTTTGTTAGCTCCGCTGTCGACTTTGTCGAGCGGAGCTTATCATATGAGTGATTGTCCGTCGTCGTCCGTCGTCGTCGTCGTCCGTGTCAATGTTTTACTTTTTCGACTTCTTCTTGAAAACTACAAGCCTGAATGCTTTGATACTTGGTGTATATGTACCTTGGGTAGACCTCTCTCACATTTGTTCATTTTGTAATGATATCTTCAATTCTCTAATTTTGGTGAATATTTTTGTAATTTTTGGTAAAAGTGATATTTTCGACTTCTTGTTGAAAACCGCAAGTCCAATTGCTTTGATATTACATATATAGGTACTACATGTGGACCTCTCTCAGATTTGTTCATTTTGTAATGATATCTTTAATTCTCTAATTTCGGTGAATATTTTTGTAATTTTTGGTAAAAAGTGATATTTTCGACTTCTTGTTGAAAACCGCAAGTCCAATTGCTTTGATATTACATATATAGGTACTACATGTGGACCTCTCTCAGATTTGTTCATTTCATAATGATATCTTTTATTCTCTAATTTTGATGAATATTTTTGTAATTTTTGGTAAAAAGTGATACTTTCGACTTCTTGTTGAAAACCGCAAGTCCAATTGCTTTGATATATTATACATATAGGTACTACATGTGGACCTCTCTCAGATTTGTTCATTTTGTAATGATATCTTCTGTTCTTTAATTGCCATGTGCATTGCTAACAGCGGAGCTATCTCAGCCGACAGGCTGCTTGTTTTTTTTCTCTTTTGTAGTTATTAGCTATTTTTATTAGTGTTTTTTTTTTTGTATTTTTTTTTATTGTCATGTATCGATTTTCATCCATTCCAATGGATGTTAATTGATTACAGATTATTATTGTTCAAAATGTGAACCACAGTGCCTAAAGCTATATATAAGTCAGTTGAAATAATATTCTGATACATGTTGTTTTTATCACAGTAATCAGAAACCAGGCTGATGTTGCATTTGGTCAGTCATTCGTGGAAGTTTTCATGGATAACTGGCTACCCTTATGCATTGATGAAAGTGACTTTGACCCTGTCTATGGTAACTTGATTTGTCGTGGAATAGGATATAGGTATGTAATTATAAGTTTAGCATCAGGAGATAGATTACAAATTTGTATATGAACTTGACACTTTATTTCACATTGGTTTATTTGTTCGTGCAAGCATCTTCACTGTGTCTCAGACATGTCTGGTCATATCACATTCAAACTCCACACATACATTATACGTCTTGAAATACATGTATATGTGCTAGTCCATTTGTTTTGCAAAATGGCCAATTGGCAGCCATTTTAATGTTAAAAGTTCATCAAAATCAAATGTTTCTGCCATTCTAGAACCAGATTTTAGTCATGTATGGAAGGATTTTGTTCAAACTTGATTCATTGAAGAACATCAGTTTGTTTTTCAGACCGTATTCAAAATGGCCACCAGACAACCATTTTGAATTTGATCTGAAAAACAAAATGAATGCATTTTTAGAACCATACATTGTATCTCTGACATGCTCTCATGATCCATCCAACTTTTTATATAATTCTTAAACTTGATAACAAACACGAATGTAATATATTTAATGTAGTTATGACTTGTTCATCTTTTATCAGGTCATACAGAAATATTTCCTTCAGTGCAGCGCCTTCAAGATCACTCTATGCAGTGCTGCAAAGTTCTCTTCCCTCAAATACTCAATATACTCATTTACATGGACTGTTAACTACAAGGTATGACATGAGGATATGATTTCAATATTCAGTATTTTCATTATTATTATTACTATTATTACAAAATAGCAACATTCATTAGTAGTAGCTGAACATTATGTTCATTTCAGATTTCAAAATGTGGGTGATGTTATTAACCGGTACTATTTTTCCTGTTAATATTTTAGAGCAAAATTTAATAAATTTGTGTGTGTTTTGTGTGTTCTTGGACCATAATTTCCTATTGTCAGGTAGATTAGGAAAGTTTAATTTGTGAATTGTCACAGTTGAAATTGATATTGTAAATTTAATGTTGATTACCAGTACCACCAAGGCGTTTTTTATCAAAATGGATATTATTTCTATATATCTTTTTATTTTGGATGAATTTCTAACAGAAATTTCTAGATGTGAATTAATTAATTAAAAATATATTTTTTCTCTAAATGAGAAAGAACATTAGATGAAAATGAATAAAGAGTTTGCTGTTGTGCTGTTTTATATGCACACGAATGGTGAAAAATCTCATAACAAGTTGTCAAAAACATGTCTTCTATCGAGTAATTGGAAGAGACCTAAATTTGTTTCCATATATGGTGAATTCTTCCAATTATTTTCATTTTAGGATAATACTTGCTGACTACTGTAAACAAGAGATGTTCTGGTGTTTAGAAAACAAATAATTATTCAATTACAGTGAATTTATGAAAGAAGAAAATCAATTTTTCAGTGTTGTATTATCAACATCCAGTGAAAATGAACCCAGTCAAAAATCTTAAAAATATCGAAAAAATGTTTCATTTCTTATCAATTCCTGTATTTTTGTCTTCACAGTTCTACATGTAGTGGTAGAACAACGGTAGACATTGACTGCCAACCATACGGTGTTTCACTTTTTATTGTTTCATTTTTTATTAATTCCTATATTTTTGTCTTCACAGTGCTACATGTGATGGTGGGACAACAGTAGACATTGACTGCCAACCATACGGTAAGTGTCATATTTTGACCCATTCTTCTATCATCACAGCATCAATGTAACTAGCATGCAATGTGTCTGATGCAGAACACAATGGTCAGCGTGTTGTTCATCAGTAACATGAGAGAGATGATTATATATAATTTCCTGATATTTCCTCTTTAGCTTGACGTCAGCAGACATGAGTTATTACTGCAAGAGTTTTGTATCAATCCGAGCCACAGTATTATTGTGCATGCCTTGTAGGCTAATTTTGTTGATGATACAGTGTTCTTTTTCATGCAAACGCCTTGTGTACTCTGTTCGTGATATTTGCTCAAATTCATTAGGATTTATTAAATTTTCAACAGATTTTTTTAAATTCTACAACTTTAATCAAAGTCCAAGAATATTCATCATTATTCTACAACATTCACCAATGTTCAACAATATGCATTAATATTCTTCAACATTCATCAATATTCTACAACATTTACCAATGTTCAACAATATTCATCAGTATTCCACGTTTACCAATGTTCAACAATATTCATCAATATTC